TTTAGAACAGGCACAGAAACTTCATGGTTGCAGTATACAGGTACAGAAGTGTTATGGTTTCAGAAGTGGTTCAAAGCTTAAAACGTCAGGTTCCAGTCAACCCTTTAAAACCCAAGAAACTTTTAGTCTTCCACTAAGCAGTTCCTTAATCACAAGTAACTATTTAATCACAAGTAACTATTTAAGAATAAAACACAAGCTGAACTTCCACTTCTAACCCAAACCTCCCTTCTTCTTTCAAAACCCAAACTCCAACTGACTTAAAATGGTTCCTTTTTCTCCTTACCTCATCTTAGCTCCACCCACATTCTGCCTCCAGGGCTATTGATCAATCAGGTGGCACCACATACCCTAAAGGCTGCCTGCTGGCTCCGCCCCCTCTAAGATCTGTGCTAACAAAATGGATGCCTGCTGGCTCCGCCCCCTCAGCTCTGTACTAACAAAATGGCTGCCTGGCTTTTGGCCTTTTAAAGAAATTAAACACCAGCCCTGCAAAGTAGGCCAGTACATTACACCCTGGTTCCTGGGAATGCTTAAACTGAGGTATAGTCCAAAATATCTCAATTGCAATGTATAGCCTATGTCTGCTGTAAACAGGTAGTAAGTCTCATTTAAATTAGTGGAATCTACTTTTGAGTGAGCAGCATATGATTTCTTTCTTCTTCTAATCTCTTTTTCAGTTTAAATTGGTAAAAAGCTTGGAGAGCACAAAAAATCACAATACTGTTTCAACCTAATGCCAGCACAATTTGTGGTTTGTTGCTGTGATCTCACTTTATGTTCTGTATTATTTATTACTTTCCATCCCATCACCCAAATAGGACATAAATTTATATAAAATTTATTTATATTCTTACATGAAATCTAATGTTATATTGTGTCAGGATGTGATTAATCGTGGTATATAGATATTATCAGAATTATTCAGTAGTCTAGTTAAAATAACCAATTTCTCTTACAAACGGTATTGTCAATTTACTGGTGTGTGTGGGGGGAGGGAGTAGTTACTCTTTTAAGTTGTTAGAGGGTTGTAGCTGCAGCATGTCATTCTCTCTGAAGCCTTTTTGAATGTGAAGATCTTAAAAGAGAACAAACAGAATCAGTTCAGGAGTAGACAGTGCACAATTTATAAGCTTGGCTGAAATTGTCTCTTGTGGTAGTTTCTAGAGCAGATATGAATGTGTTAAGAATCATATTTCGACCTCAGGCTGGATCTACACTGATACATTATACTGGGCAAATCTGGCATGGCATATGCTAAATCAGTGTCGTGATTACCCAGTGATGCTGAACATGGTTTGGCTCCACTAGACAGCCACCTTACCATCCACTCTTGTCCTCACTATCACTACAGTTTCCAGCCACATACCACCTGCAATCTAACAAAAAAGGGGAGGAAGGAAGAATTGCCTTTTCCTCTTCCCCTTTCCCTCCCCATTTGCCCTATTGCCCAGGCCAACATCACTGCAAGTGAAAGGCGATAGGTAGGACCCATGTCATAGCCAGAGACAGCTGTGTTGGAGGACGAGGATGGTTAGGAAGTGCCATCCTGTGTTCCTGGACTAGGGCTAAGGCTTCTGCTGTTTTCCACTCACCAATACTTGTACAGGCGCATGATTCCAACTGATGAACATGCAAGACTTGATATTTTATGCAAGACAGAGATAAGTTGAACCATTTTCAGACTGTGGAATCTTGCCCATAGATGATGATGATAACAACAACAACAACACTCCTGACCTCATGATCATGTTAAAAACCAAAGTATGGATCGTTGATGTTGAAATCCCAGGTGACAGCAGGATTAAAGAGAAACAACTGGAAAAGCTAACACAATATGAGGATTTAAAGATCAAACTGCAAACTCTGGCACAAGCCAGTAAAGGTGGTCCCAGTGGTGATTGGCACACTGGGTGCAGTGCCAATAATAATAATAATAATAATAATAATAATAATAATAATTATTATTATTATTATTATTATTTATATCCTGTCCCCTCTCCACAACGACTTGGGGCGGCTCACAACAGAATCAAATTACATGTTGCATCATGGAGGCAAAACCAATGGGTATTAACAAGTCTAAAAGACCACCATCAGAATGCAAGTAGTCGACCATTTTCAAAAGCCAGCTTCCACATCCAAATTTTTAGCTCTTTCCTGAAGTTAGCTAGAGAGGGCACCAGTCTGATTTCTTTAAGGAGAGCATTTCTAAGCTGGAGGCCACCACCAAGAAGGTCCTTTCTCTAGTTCCCACAGCTGTGCTTGTGAGGGTGGTGGAATGGAGAGAACTCCCTCCCCCCACAGTGGTTCTTCTGAAGATAACCATCTCTAGGTGGCAGGACCATCAAAAAACAATAGGGGATCAAGAATTTAGGAAGCATTCCCCCTTCAACAATTCTGTAATCCTAAAAGTCAGCATGTCCTCCCTATCTGGTGTAGATGCGTGAGCTGAAATGCTTGGTATGCTAATCATTGTGGCTGAATTGAAAAAAGATAAACTGAGTGAGTCTATGTATATAAGTAATGATTGATTTTACTATTAGTGATCTCCTGATATTTTTGCCATGCTCTTACTTAGATATTGATCTGCCCATTGTTTGTCTTGTGCCATTGCTTACAGCCACTGGCACATTTTCATGCTTTCTGCCTCTTTCTGAAGCAGTGTGAACTTCTATTTTACCATTTTTCACAGTGAATATTTCAAGAGACAAGAAGCAGTTTCCCAGATAACCCTGCTCTTTTCTATTTGAAAGAAAATAGCTGCGTTTTCACAGAGGACATATCATCGACTTGAAAAATTGTTCCTTCTTTAGAACTCTCAAGTGCTCTGTGAAAATGCTGTAAGTTTATGGGATCCCTCCTCCCCTTCCATCCTTGTTCAGTATATAAATTGCTTGCTTTTTATGATTTCAAGTGGCCAAATCCCCCTTTTCCCTTCACTTCATTTGATAGTTTTTATTATTGTTATTGTGCTCCTGCTTCCACATGTTGTCTCTTGACACTTTTACTTATGATTGATAAAATGACAGATAAAATGGAGTACTTTGGCAACTGCCTTATGGTGTAGTTGGTATTTCACTCTTTTCTTTGTTATTTTCTTTAGAATAAAGTAATAAAAAAATAACTGACTCACACGTACACACAGAGAAAGACACATATTTCCAAGTTATATCCATTGTTATATGACAATATATAAATTAGTCCATTTAAATTAGTTAATGCATAACAATACAGTGTTATCAATACTATCCTGCTCTGAAAACAATAATAACTTTGTTGGAAATTTGTATCTTTAATTCGGAGGCCAGTAGAGTTGTTTTTTGTGCTGGTGCAAAGAAAGGATTTTGTGATTTCCCTTGTCATCTTGAGGAAGATTTGACCATTCCTTGGCCTCAGCACCATTGCTTGTAGAAGGTCCAAAGGACTATAATTTGTGGAAACATGAATAACCTGCAGTAATCTGTTGCATTTCCAGAAAACTTTGAAAAGTTTTACCATCAGTGGTTAAAAATGTGTTTGAAAGAACTGCACAGGACTGTTAAAGCAAACCCAGGACAGGATGAGCCTTTATCTGTTGCAATGAAAGACTGTATGCAGATAACAGGTTATAGGATTAGGTAGGGAATGGAGACTGTAGGTGCATCTACATTGTAGAATTAATGCAGTTTGACATCACCTTAACTGCCCTGACTCAATGCTGTGGAATCATTGGATTTTTAATATGTTGATAGCATTCCATAGCATTGAGCCATCAAAGTTAAAGTGGTGTCAAACTGCACTAATACTAAAGTGTAGAGCACCCTCTGTAGCTCTACAGATGATGTTACACCCACAGAACTCCTACAATCATGATCAATATAAAGGATGAATGGAGTTATAATCCAGCAACATTTAAACCAGGTCTACACAACATGCAGCCAGGGGCTGGATGCAGCCCTCACAAGAATTTGGTGCAGCCTGCAAAGGCTCTGACCCTAAGCTTTAGAGATGAAGGTCACCTGCAATGTTATGGCAGAGTAGCAATTGGAACCCACCATTCCCTCCTCCAAGTGTTTTACCTCTTACACCTTTCCTTTCTGTATGCACCAAAGTTACCAAACTAACCAGTAACAAAGGTGGCACCACCAATAGATCCAGTCAGGAGGCTGTAAGTGCTGGTCTCAGTTGAAAGCATGGTTTGGGAGGGTCTTGAACTCAGGTTAGAGTACTGGTGAACAGGGAAGAAATTTTAAGAGGTATCAGACCTTTATTCAGGGAGTTTGAAATCTTGGGTTTCAGGTTATTTTAAAATTTAACATTAGATTGGAAATTTTAGAGGGAAAAGGAGGCGGTAAAGAAGGGCCTCAGTTCTTGTCTCTGTCATTTTTCCTTTCTTTCTCTTTGCCTCTGTTGTCTCCTTCTCATTCAATGAGAAAACCACCAACTCTGCACCATTTGCTTATGAGGGAGACACTTGACTATACTACTTTTTCTTTTTAGTTTGCCTCTGGGTTTTTTCTCCTCCTCTGGTGGGAAAAACCACCAGGTCTTCTCCATTCATTACCCTCACTTATGAGGGTAAAATGTAGTAGCTTCAACATGAAGTTTTTGTAGGAAGTCTTCACAGCAAGCTAAGTTTCTTCCTCACAAATGGGGGAATTAATTACACAGAGTTTGTGTTTTGCTGCTTACTCTGAGGGAAAGTGTCCTCTCACAAACCCAAAGTGAGGTGTTAAAACTCTATCTGTAGCCTGAAGATGTTTAGTCTACTTAATTTCAACCCCTTACTACTGTCAAGTTGTGCACGTCTAATTTAGACTGAGGTTCAGAACGGTACATTGCTGGCTACTAAATCATTTTTTCTACTACACAACATTGTACAAAGACTTGGGGAAATATTTTATGGACATCATGTGTATGCATCTTTGTCATTTAATCTATTTCTTTGGTTTTTTTTAAAAAAAATACCTAGTATATTTAATGCTTTCAATTTTTGTTCTCATTACTTGATTCTGCAGATAAAAACTGGAATTGCATTGCTATACGATGAAATATCCGGAAATACCTATGAAATCCGACTGAAGCTTACAAAAGAGGTACTAACAATTCAAAAACAAGATGTCATCTGTGTTAGTGGAAGTGATCACAGTTCAAATGTAAGTGCTTCTATAACTTTGGCTCCCAACTGTATTTTTTTTAATTTTGCAAACTTTCCTAAAAGTAGGCTAATCTAAACAGGTAATTTCAATGTTATGTTACTAAGTAAAAATTATCTGTCAAATAAAGCAGATTAGTTTTATACCACCAGTAGATAGTATTGCAAAACAGATACTGTCACATCCTCTGAAATGTATTTCCTCTATGAGTCTTACAAAATATAACAATGTAAAGTTACAAAGTGGGATCAATTGCAATATATACAAGAACTGGAAATAGTGTTTATCTTCACCAGTATTTATCTCCTTGAAAAAACGGTTTTGTCCCCATTGTAATATTTCATCTTCATTTCTAGGTAGCATATACTGATGTTCTGATGTCTATTAAGCATCTCAGATTTTCATCACACTTAGGCAGCAACATTTACTACACTGTAGAATTAATGCAATTTGAAAGCACTTTAACTACCATGGCTAAATGCTATAGAATTATGGTAGCTGCAGTTTCACTAAGTCTTTAGTCTTCTCTGCCAAGGAGTGTTGATGTCTCTCCATCACAGATGTGGCCACACATTCCTTAAAACTATGTCAATGACTTTTCACGCCTATAGCTACATTACAGAAGGAATGAAATCATCTCTTGTTATATTCCAAAGGTTCTTAAACTTTCTATTTAGTTATACCAAAAGGAAATTAATTAGCAAATTGAGGCTATTTGTAACAATAGTTTACCAAAAAATATTACATTTTATGTGCAAAAAATGTTTTCTATACAACTTTGTGTATGTGTATTTTTGTAAAATCCTGACATGCAAAAAACAAAACAAAAACAAAACTTCATGGGAATTATGAGAACAAGAACAATTGTAATTGCTTTTTCTGGATTGAATTTGATGCCATTGCACGTGTGAGGAAATGAAATGGAGGTAAAAATGGCTGTTCATTCATTTTTGCTATCAGCTATGACCACATATCTTCCCCTATTCACATCAGATTTTGGAGTACTTGGGAAAGAAAAGACATTAAAACTATCACATTGCTTGCATGCAAAAGGTTAAAGCAGGACTTGGCAAAGTATGGCCTTCCAAATGTTACTGTACTACAACTCCCATAATCCTTGGCCAGCATCTCTCACAGAGAGGAATCTTTTGAATTGCAGTACAACATCTGTTGTACTCCAAGTTATGGGTTGAAGCTTTTCCATGACCTTTTTTATTGTTAGTGTGAATCCTCATTAAAAATGGGATGATGTTTTTGTCTTTTTCCTGCTCCAAGGCCAAGTACCTCATTACTGAAACACAGCAGAAAAGGGCCTTTTCTGGGCATCTTCTCCAGCTTCTGGGAGAATTTGATAACCAGGTCTAGAATGTAGAGGTAAATGCTGCACAGTACTTAATCCCTGTTCCCAGTGGGCATGGGCAACTCTACTTTTACTTTTACTTCTATTTCTACTTCCCTTCTACAAGATGTATTACAGGTTGAATATCTCTTATCTGAAATACTTGAAAGCTGATGTTTTTGATTTGGGGTTTTAAATTTATTTTGGAATACCTATATTTGTATATAGGTACATAATGGGACATTTTGGAGATGGAACCCAAGTCTAAATGCATAATATATACTTAACAACTCCGCCCCCTCCCCCATGTATCTGTGTATACAACGTTTATATACATTCAACCGTAAGAAAGCAAAGGTGCAAGTATTTCAGCCATTCATGAGGGCAATTTCAGGTTTTGGAATATTTCAGAATTCCAGATAAGGGAAACTTAACCTATATTTAGCCTTAAGAGTACTGAACTGGGGAAAATATCTCACAGGATCAAAGTGAATGTAGGCAAGGCTATTCAAATCCATAAATCTTGTTTTTGTTGTGTTTCTGAGAACCACGTTATAATTCTTACTATACCTTGGTAACATATTTGTTTGCAATATTTTTCTTCTTGTGTGGAAATTTATAATTATATTTCTGCCTTGTTCAGACTGCAGTTTTTTTAATGGAGTGGACAGAGCCAGCTCCTGTTCTAGCTCCTATTTCCAACTGCAGCTTTTTGTACATAGAGTTTTTGGACATTTCTTACCACAGGTTAAAGATTTTCAAAAGTATGCCTATTAAATTTTGTTTATGTTTCAAAGATATACATAGTTTAGTATGTACTTTTTCTTGGTCAAAAAGAAATCACAAGCCCTGAGGATCTATAGATTTGTGAGAAGCAAGATCCACTCCATCTTATTGCCAATTTATGGAAATAGAAAATGGGATACGTTTGTTGGAAACAGCAATATAAGCAGTTTGTTTTTCTGCCTATTACTCAGACCTTCATCACTCTCATTGATCTTGGTGCAAGCAGTGAGGGACAACTGAATGTTGCAAATGGTCTTATTTAAAGGCCCAGTCTATTTTCAGATTTTAAGTATCTTGAAATCAAAGCTTAAAGGCTAGTGTTTAGAGAATCACTGCAACTTTTTGAATCAGCAGAGATGGCTGCAATGGCCAGGAATTCAGATGAATGACCAAGGCTAGCAAGGAGTGGTGGAGGCTGGAGCTTGGAGGAGGAGAGATGTGGGCTATCCCAGTGGAGCAGAAGTGCTCACAGGCCATCTAGAAAACAGCCATATATTTGGCACGACATGCAGAATTTGGACACATCACAGATCAGATTTACACCAGGGTTTTTTTGTTTTTGTTTTTTGTCCTGTCAGGAATGACTTGAGAAACTGCAAGTCACTTCTGGAGTGAGAGAATTTGCTGTCTGCAAGGACTTTGCCCAGGGGATGCCCGGATGTTTTTCCATCCTTGTGGGAGGCTTCTCTTATGTCCCTGCAATGGGGAGCTGGAGCTGATAGAGGGAGCTCATCCACACTCTCCCCGTATTTGAACCTGTGACCTGTTGATCTTCAGTCCTGCCAGCACACAGGGGTTTAACCCACTGCGCCACCGGGGGCTCCTTACACCAGGGTAAACTGGTGTAAATGGATGAGCCCTATGTTAGTTTTGTCTTAGGGCCCTTCCACACAGTCATATAACCCATAATAACAAGACAGAATAACCCACAATATCAGCTTTGAACTGAAATATCTGAGTCCATATTGACATATATCCCAGTTCAAAACAGATAATGTGTGATTTTATTCAGCTGTGTGGAAGGGGCCTTAGAAACAGTAAAAAGAGCAAAACAGATGTGGAGAGGACATGCCATAAATCCTAGCAAGAATATCAGTCTTGAGGACACATCTACACATGCCACTAAATCTGAGTTTGAGGCCAATATAGAACAAGCCCTAGGGCACATCTACATTGACACTACAATGCAACTTGGAAATTGTTTGGGAGGAACTGGTTTTACTGTGATTAGACTGAGAGATCTGGAACTCAGACTACAGTCATTGTGCCAATTTCAGTGAGAGATGCACATTGGTGCTCCAGAGATCTAGGTGGTAAAAAAGAGAGAAATAACAGAAGTGGAAGAAATCAGTTGCATCTCTGGAGATTGAGTTATTCCCCTGCTAGTTAGCCATGCCCTTGAAGCATTTTTGGCAGCCCCCTCGCCCCCTCATTCCAAATTCTACAAAGCACTTCAGCAAGGATGGGTATCTACAATGTGTTTTTCATTCTACAGACCCGATTTCATGTTGGGATGTGGGATATATTGAGATCTGCTGCAGATTCTGCTGTGACTTTTAAAATGTACTATAGACTAGGTATGTGCATTATTTGTTTCCGTGTCTCGGATTTCAGTCGGGGTCCCGATCTGTTATTCTGAATTACTGAATTATTTTGTCATTACTGAATAACTTTGTGTGGGAAATGGGGGTTGGGGGGAGGGAGTGGGTGTCCTTCTACTCCTTCAGACTCCAGGAGCCTGAAGAACCAGGGTGGTTGTGGGGATTGACCTCTGGGAATGTGGAAGCAGTCCCGGGAATTAATCCTCACAGGCCCGTAACCTGCAAAGGTCCAGACCTTAGCTTAGGATCTAGATCTTCCAGGTGTCAAAATAACGTGGAGTAAACTGGGAAATATATCATCCCACTTTACTCCACATTAATCTGGTTTTACCTGAGGTGTCGTTTGGTGTGAATAAACATACAAAGCGAAAATTCCCACCATCTCTAACCATTTATTGATTATATATGTTTAATATTAGTCATACGTTTTTCCTGTAAATTTGTTATGGATGCTTTTAATATTTCCATGAAACTATATAAACGATTTTCAACCTGACTTCCTGTAGATACCTCAGGAAGGATTCCCCAAATCTTACATAGATTTACATTATATAAGAGAAGGTATTTAAAACATGCTGTTACTATGTAAGGAAGTGCATTGTGAAAGTTTGAAATGGGAGTACTAAACATAATGTACTTGTCTGCTTCCATAGCACCCAAGTGTGTAACACCCGGTGTTACCATCTATAAAGTGCAAGAGACCATTGCTGAAGTACATACTCATGAACTGACATTTCACAGATGAAAATAAAAATCAGGTGTGATTGCTAAAAAGGAAGAACAGACAAACTAGGAGAGGTTACAGAATTTTGCTTTTGCCTGAGTCAACCAGTCAAGACTTCATTGCATTTCCTCTCCTCTCTGCTGAGCTAACTTCTGAAGTACTTATTTTCCATTTATTCCAAATAAATAAAAAAACACCAATGGAAATACGCCAGCAAGATAGGGAGAAAGTGAGAAGAGAAAAAGGAAACTTTGACATTTTAAAAGTAGTCAAAAATGAAATGACAGAGTATTAATTGGGCTCTCCCTGCGAAATTGAGATAGTTGGAGGATATGCCAGTATGCAAATGATCCCAGTTTTTCAGTGCTTTCAGGGTGGTTATGAGGGCAGCATCTGCTAATCTAAAGTGCTGAAACTTTTTAATTATCAGACTCAATTGCAACATATTGCACTTACCTTACATACCACCTCTCCCTTTAGATTGGTAAAAGGAGTAAGGGGCAAAAATAAAATAAAAAAATGATAAAGTGGGAACATTTAAATATTGTGT